AAAAACTCTTTCTTTCACTCTGCCATCAGACTCCTAAACAGCTGAGGAGTTTATCACCAGGAAATACGTGATGTACTGTTTACATTCTCAGTTTGCACATGCATAATTGCACAATGAGTGTTGACTGCTGCACATGCTGCTCCCATGCAGCATACATTCTTTGTTATATTCTTATATATTTCTTATTATATTGCTGCATTTGCTGCCTAAAGTGCCTTAGATTTTGTGTTACTTATTTATCTACTTTATATTTCATTTGTATTTTGTGGCATTAATGTGGACGGCAAAGTAAGAATTTAATTGTACAGGGAAACACGTTTCCTAACTGTGCATATGACAAACACCTGAACTTGATCTGTAAGAACTATAACATTCCTGTACAATAAAAATGAGTCAAAATACAGAGAGAGTAAGATTATGAAATATAAAATCAGGAAGGCCTGTAGGCCCTGTATAGCATCGCTGCTACATATTAGATGCCAAAAGCCAGTCTGAATAAATGTGCCTTTAATTTAGACTTAAAAACCATTAATTCCGTTATAGATCCAACCTCCGGGGGCAGGGCATTCCAGAACTTGGGGGCATACGCGGCGAAAGAATGATCTCCCCACTTTTTATACCTTGCCTGCGGGACAACCAGAGACACATGCTCAGAGGAACGCAGCGCTCTGACCGGGGTATAAATGGTTAACAGATCGGTCAAATAGACTGGCGCAAGACCATTAATGGCCTTGAACACAAACAGTAAAATTTTTAAATCTTTTCTAAACTGTACCGGAAGCCAGTGAGGCAACTGAAGAACCGTGGTGATGTGAGCATTCTCTGGAGTGTTTGACAGTAGGTGAGCAGCCGCGTTTTGTACAAGTTGGAGCCTATGGAGTTGAGACTGACTAATTCCAGTATAGAGGGCATTGCAGTAGTCAAGTCAAGAGCCAATGAAGGCATGAATGGGGAACAAAATGGAGTCATTAATGACATGCAGTATTAAGCATTATATCTTTGTTAGTTTTATTTTACTTTTGAGAGAATGAATGAAATACAAAGTACAAATTTCTCTTTGTGAATTCTTGTTCAAGTGTCTTGCACCCACAGGCTCTACAAGTGCTGATTTAAAAAAAAAAAAAAAAAAAGATGGCTGGAGGTGAACACGAGGGCACAGCAGCTTTCTGCCACATCATAACAGCAGGAGTCTTGTTTCCATTCTTTCTTGTGCTCCCTTACCCCATTAGAAGCTACCTCCCCGACCGGAGACAATTCAATGATTATGTGGTCCCTCCACCCCCACTGTGTTTTTGAGAGTAATGGAGCTGTGTGGACATGGAGGTGAATGGGAGACAGGATATTGCATAAGCTTCATTGAATGAGTGTTTAGTCAGGCAGCTGGATTTGCCTCACTTCCTTGATCATCCCAGTTCAGTGCAGATTGACTCCCTGTGCTCACTTTTTGCCAGGTCATACAGTATATTGCTGTTTGAATGTAAAGATTCTGTTCACGTAATGGTTTTGATATGGCTGATTTCAAATGCACTTAAGCCTGACAAACCTTAAGCTTTACTCAACAAACCTCCTTGGGGTCACATTTTTACTGAACTGCACAAGAAACATGTTACTTCTACAGAGTTTTTGAATTGTCACGTGAAGACAAGCTGATGCAGAAGTTTTACTTCATGTTCTAATATGCTCTTCTACAGGTGCTGCTCATATAATTAGAATATCATCAAAAAGTTGATTTATTTCACTAATTCCATTCAAAAAATGAAACTTGTATATTCATTCATTACACACAGACTGATACAGTGGGTACGGAAAGTATTCAGACCCCCTTAAATTTTTCACTCTTTGTTATATTGCAGCCCTATGCTAAAATCATTTAAGTTCATTTTTTTCCTCATTAATGTAAACCCAGCACCCCATATTGACAGAAAAACACAGATTTTTTTTTACATTTTTGCAGATTTATTAAAAAAGAAAAACTGAAATATCACATGGTCATAAGTATTCAGACCCTTTGCTGTGACACTCATATATTTAACTTAGGTGCTGTCCATTTCTTCTGATCATCCCTGAGATGGTTCTACACCTTCATTTGAGTCCAGCTGTGTTTGATTATACTGATTGGATGTGATTAGGAAAGCCACACACCTGTCTATATAAGACCCTACAGCTCACAGTGCA